TATTGATGGCATTGAATAGTACTTCCCTAAGGTTTCATTCGGTATTCAGTCACTCTTTTACAATTTTTTTTTTCCTTAGATTATTGTGATAGTTCACTATTAGCACTATTTTTGTTTTTCGTTTCGTATCGTGTAGTTTCTAAAATAGTGTGCTCAAATTCTTCAGCTTTATGATGCTTGATAGATTAAGATGAGAAAAGTGCTACATTATAATTGAAATGCTACACAGACTTTTCTCACATTTTCAAATGACACCACAATTCTGTAACATAAATGTGAAAGTCTTGTCTTTGCTATTTCTTTCGTCTTGACTTTTTTGCCAATTTCATTGCTAGTGATCGTGCGAATTTAACGAAAGTAGAATGACGTTTTAAAAATAGAACACTTTCAACTGGTCGAAAACAGTTAGAGGCGCATTATTGAAAAAAAAAATCGTTTTAAAAAAGGAATACACTGACAGGCCAAAAAATGATGGTTGATTTTTTTTACTTTGTTGCACAGAGTAATAAAGTTTCATAATGAAGTATTATAAAGCAAATAATATTATTTAAATATAAGTGAACCATGTACAAATCGTAGGTCAACATATTCATTGTTTGTCTATTGTTCTGCAGTACATATAACCTCAGTAGGTATAAAAATTATTCGCAGTAATACTTCATACAAAGTACAATAAAATTGCTCATTTCCATATTGCTATTTAGTACTAAAAAACTTTATGTACACAAAATCAAATTGACATTTGCTCATGTAATGACACCTACGTAAGATGATTTTATGACTATTTTTGTATCTAAATACAAGCATAATGAAAAATTGAATAGATTCCAAATCTGAAAGGAATCATAAACTTTCATTGAAACTCCGACCTACTTATCTTATTATCAATAGTTTGGTCGGTCCATTGCTGGTCTATGAGCCTTATCTACATAAGAGGGTTTTCCATAGTCTTCGTGCTTGGTAGACGGTGAACACAAGTCCATAGGTTCAAGTCCAACAGAGAGCATTGCTGCTTTGTCTCTGTCAAATGTTTAGTTCCATACGTGTAAGTTTCCGAGTGTTTTAAGTTAGATTCATCGTCTCGTTACGATTGCGATACCTGCGGGAAGACTAGGGCTTATGACAATGTAATCTACTCTGCCCATACCATATTATGACTTCTTATCTATCTACGTTACAAACAATATTAATGCAATAAAGGTTGTAAAATGCCATCAAAATAAAATTTGTTTGAAAAAGTTTTAATTAAACATTCCGACGTAATAAATAGCTGCAGAATTAATATTCCCAAAAGTACGCACACAACACAACACAATTGTTTGTTACTCGAATGAAAACGAATATATCAAGTTTCCGCATACCAAAACTCTGATTGGACGACCGACATCTTTAATAGATACGACTTTCAAAATAAAATTGTCGGGATTAAGAATCTTAAAATAGATAATTAAAATACTCTAACATTTTTTCGTAATTTCAGTATCAATGTCTGCTAGTCAAAGTCAAAGATCAAAAACCTTGTACATCCGTACTAATTCCATTCAGTTGACACCTTAATTTCCTTCACTTAAAATCTATTTTCGTCTAGCATTTCCACGTTATATTCAGTCATCATCATAAATCGATGACCCGTACTTCGTCATCGAGTTTTATCAATCATTGTACGGTGGCCAGTACTAATCATTGTACTGTATCGTTAAATAATTAATTGTAATTATATGTACTTGATAAACAAACAAGGGAATTAGACGCTATCGTGGCTGATACACGTCAATATGTCAAATAGATTTTGACATATTGACTTTAGATTGTATTAGTTACTAGTAGCAGCTAGTTTGCACCGGTTTTCATAGTTTGTTGAGATTAGATTGTGGTTAATAGGTACTTAGGTAGATACTAGATACCTACATACTATATTTACAAATACATCACGCTTTTATCCCCGAAGGGGTAAGCAGAGGTGCACATTATACGACAATTAATGCTACTGTACAATGTAACACCCACTTTTCGCCATTTATGTTATGAGTCCCATATAATAGGGAGTGAGCTTATTGTCGTATACCGGGCACAATTTCAGACTCCGTGCGATCACTGAAATTTTTTAACAAACCTAGTAATACTTTGCCCGATGTTGTATTTATTATAAGAAAATATTATGGTTTCTCTCACGTACATAATTACTAATTTATTTTTCTTCTTGCTATTATATTAAGCTACTTGGGGTCAGCAGCACAATATGTGTCCTTTTTCATTTTCGCCTATTAAAAATACTTTCTATTTCATAACATAATTCTTCTTTATAAGCAATCTACTACTTTAAAAAGTGACCGCGGTCACTTTTTCTCTCTTTCTGTCTTTTTTTCAAAAAGTTGTTGTTTAATAGCATATTATCGCCATAGAATAAATTAAACGTGTTTTATAATGGCCAAAAAACGATAAAGCTAGCATTATTTTTATCAACACAATTTATTCATTTACGTAAGTCCACACTGACAAAAAATGTTGTATTTCGAGAAGAGCCTACGACAACTTTTCGATATTTATTTTTTGTATTCACGTATTTCAGAAATAATTAATTATCTACCTATACTTCTTTTGACAATTTATTCTAATCATCTTTAACTCAATCGTTAATATTAATCACGTCTTCACGAAAAAACTTTATTACGGAAAATCAATTCAACATTTCGGCCGCTAATGTACTTTTTATGACGACAATAATGTTGCTTGGGGTCCCAAAGACCCAACACAAATCGATTGCACATCAACTCTGTCAAATCGGTACTCGGCTTTATAGCAAAAGAATAAAGTTTAAAATCTATTATTTAACGGTGTAAGATTGAATACTCTGTTCGCAATTCATTTATTTATGTAGACACATTTAAAAAAATACGAAATGAATCACAGCGTATTATATCTTCGCCGTAGTATAACATTATCATTTTACTGGTTATCGTAATTAACACGTTACGTTCCGTGAAATTCATGTCCTAACACGTGTTTGTACGATAATATTATTCAACAATATTAGCTTAATTACCGGTGTTGTAATTAGTATTTCATACATAGGTACATTTTTTTGACCCCGAGTTGGGAAATCCTTATGGAGCCCCCCTCGCCTGGGGAGAACGAAAGGGACTGTCAGACTCTTACTGACTAAAACCCATCCTGGTGTGGGTACGAGGATGACTTCATATAGGTTATATATTTCAATATTCATGCATGTCATAAGTAAAATTGCACTAGCTGACCCGGCAAACGTTGTTTTGCCATATTGTGTGAAAATTGAGGATTGTATGTATTTTTGTATGTTGTCTCATAAAAAAATAGAAATTAAAAATTTTGTCTAAAAAACAAAAAAACAATATTTAGCGGTGGACTACCCCTAACATTTAGGGGGATGAAAAATAGATTTTGGCCGATTCTCATAGATACCGGATAAGCACAAAAAAATCATCAGAATCGTTCAAGCCACTTCGGAGGAGTATGGCAACGAAAACTGTGACACGAGAATTTTATATATTAAATTAATATTTACTAAATATTAATGCAATTTTGATTCTATGACCTTGACTTGCTGCCCACTGTACTAAAAAGTTAATTCCATTGTGTCTACATCAGTTTCGTTAGGGATTTTTTTAATTGTTCGCTATTTACCTTATAACTCTTAGTTCCGAAAACCCGCATAGTGATCGATTTATAGCCGATACACTATCAAGCCTTATCAGCCGACACATTTATGGTACAACTGCGTTTAATCTTAGACCGCTTTGTTATAATTTATCACCCCAATGGTCTCATTAAAGCCCTATTTATCGATATTGTTTTACTAAATATAGGTCTGACGACGATATAATATACAAATGTAGTAAAAAATGTATGTTTCTATGTGGTTCTAAATGTTTTTTGTTGGAAAACAAAATTAAATCCTATTTTCTACTTCTTCAATACTTACTTACATAGCAACAGAGTTTACGGGTCGTCTGATTTGTAAATGATAATGAAAATACGTAACAAAGTTCTATTAGATAGCTGTTGTCTCTGCAATGAATGAATTGTATCCGACAGGCATTTTAATAACCCGGTTTTATATCAAAATTCTGTTGAAATCCACAACACAATTACTGACTGACAGACTGACAGATTTAATCATTTTTATCTCATCTTCAGATCAGTTGGTTCAAAGGACCCAATTATTAAAGTTGTAATTATAATAATTTGATCGTGAAACATAAAAAATATTATAATTACATAGATTAATATTATGTCGTAATTCTAGCTACTTCTTGTTTGCCTCAACCTTTGATTAACGTCCATTTAAAAAACCTGCCCTTGCTCAAGGCCTCTTACAAGATTTCCCTGAGATAAATCAAACAAGATAACTAATAAATTATTATTTTTTCTATGTAATTGTTTTCTGTGAAAAAATTTACAATTAATTACGAAAATAACATTGAATTATGGTTTGAGTCAGCTAGGGTTGACTCTTTCACTTAGATTTGTTTAGTACTACGTCCGTTTTGTACCCGAGTGTTTCTTGAGGGTTACTTTTTCACGACGTCTATGTTATGTAGGGAACGTTCGTGATGTGAATATAATATAGGGTGTTTTAGAAGATTAAGTTACAAAAGTATGGCTCTTATTAAAACGTCTGAACTAAAAAATATTCACCTATTTGCTGATAAATGTATGTGGCTGAGCTAATTTTTATGTAGTCACACTGAGAAATACACTTTTGTTTTCTGTTCGTGTATATATTGTCTTAACAACTATTTAATGTATTATGTTTTCGGTTTACTCATATAACTGTTTGATGAGGAACTCGACTAGTTTCAAGTAATGCTAGAGGCTCATATTTAAGAGCAGCAATTCCGCGACACGCGACGCGGCGACTATCGCGCTGCTACTAGCAGCCGAAAACATAATAATTAATTTAGTATGTCTCACAAAATTTTTAATATATAAACAATTTAATGTATTCTTTCTATTGTCCACAGATTCGAGTTACGGCGGACGTTAATGATATGGAATTGTTCACTAGCAGCATTTAGCATCATGGGCGCCTGTCGGACGCTGCCAGAATTTATTCACGTGTTACGGAACTATGGGATCTATCACTCTATTTGTGTGCCAAGGTAAGTCTTAGAGCTTATTTCTTTTGTGTACTAGAAAAGGTTTCTTCGCTGACCAATGTTCAATAGACTATACTTCTGTTAGAAGTTTACAAAAGGAACTATGCGAATCGTAGGACCCTTGACGAAGTAAATGGGTCCCTGTAGTGATGATATAAATTTTCTTTCTTGGAAAAGAAGGTCGAGAGGCGTCAGAGATGACACCTGTAAAACAAGTCCAATTATGACTATTATGTAACAACTTTGTTGAACATGTTACTCGTCATTAGAATGACATTAAGAATGACATCTCGATATTTTCTTGTCATATATTTTTCTTGGAATGGCAACTGAACATCTCTATTCATACTTCGTACAGGTTGTCTTTACTCTGGCACCGTTGATGAGTTGATGACTTGACGGACACACAACCTGTTTCAGTCATATTTCAGTGTCACTTTGCCTACCATGACGATAGTGTAGCTGTCAACTGTTTCATACTATGAACATGTCAGTACTACTATGATGAAAATAAGACTCTGTTGAATTGGTTGCTATGGGCAAGCGTGCTCCATAATAGGCCGCATCGTGTCGCTTACCACCAGGCGAGACAGCGGGCAAGAGTCTACGTATCACCAAATTACCAATATAAAAAAAATACGAGTTTAGCATTTAAGGATCCATATCAAACCTTGTAGGCTAGGTAATTGAGTACTCTAAGATAAAATTATAAAGTTATTACTATTTGTATGAATATGCGGCAATTTAAATACAAACTATATTATTTATCAATACCTGATATGATAATATACAACATGCATAGTAAATAAGTTTTGTTTTATACATAATGAATAAATAGGCCTGGAAATAGACTTTGTATACGTTTCTTGAAAGTTCGTAATCAAACTTCGTAATTTGGTAACAGTTGATCATAGTAAAAATGATGATACCAATCGCTAAATCTGGAACATAACTCTTTAAACATTTTTACCGCCACGTAGGCGCCGGTGATCTAAATTAACGGAGGATTTGCGTTCGACAGTTTTCCGTCGGCTTTCTGTTAATGCTATCCACAAAGTTCCAAACAAAAGAGTTTCTAATTATATTTACTTTGTTTATATTTATCCTGCTTTATACTTAACTATAGTAATGTTGTTTATTCTTTATTCGCACGAAGTGAAAAGGTCGTGGGACCTTCCACAGTAACAAAGCCGACCATAAATTTTTTACGTCATCCTTACATTTTACGAATAAGGTCCTACGTCTAGACAGTCTGTCTGACTAGCCATTCGCGTGTTAATTCCTAAAAACTAGACTAGACACTTTGATGACCGAACAAAATGTCAGCATTCTACGTGCTAGTTCGGGCTCCTAATATGACAGATGACAGTCGAATAGACGTGAAACATTGACATTCAGCTGAGTCTACTGACAGTGACTGGTCTGACCTCGACCGAGTTAGGAAAAGGTTGAGAGAAAGAATAAAGAGAATGTGCTTGAATCATAACAGTTATAAATTGGACTTGAGATCACTTGATTTTGTCGTAGTCGTAGTTATATATTTATATTGAACATTAACTTTTTTTCTTCTTCAGCTTTTTTAACGTGGGAACTAGGAGATTTCTCTCGAGTAGGCTGAACCCTGTAAGAATATTGAGATGAAAGTTAAAGGCAAGCCTATGTTAATCTCTGAAAAGTATATTTATAACCGTGAAGGAGTTCAAATCTCTTTCTTTATAACTTTCCAAACTATATTTATTTAATAAAATACCATATCTAATGTATAACATTTTGCATATAAAATTAAACTATTACTTTTACAAAATATATTTTTATTTTATATGATATTTTAGTGTTGCCAAACCGATAACTAGAATAATATTATGGCAACGTGTAACGACACACCAAATTTATATTACTTTTTCATCATCGCCAGCTCGTGGCAACATATAAGTAGTTGATTACTGATCCGTCTTTACCATAAGGGCACTCGGGGCCCGTGCCCACGGCCCCCATATTCAGGAGGCCCCGAAGGACTGACAATTTTGACGACGTACACCCACCCACTACCTACACGTTGCGCGGTAACCTGCTGCCATGCATCGTGTATCTTTGTGTGGTTCACAAATTGTGGTTGCGGGTCTGGGCGTCATGTGTTTATAAACACACCTACGAGACAGGAGAAAAACCTAGTGTGGGGTTACGTAAAAAAAAATCATTGGTACAGGGCTCCGAATCTTTGTGTGCCCAGACGGCCCTGCTCTAACTAGAGAGGTTTGCCTATACGCATGCGATTTATCTCATCAGGGATTATCTCACTTTTTAAGTAAAGCAAATACTATTATAAAATCAACGAGTTTATAGTTCTCTTGCAACTGCATAACTGAATATAATTTTACGCTCTCTAGATCATGACGGCAGTACATATATTTGTATACAACAGGAAACTCCGAGTATATAATGTGGCTTTCTCTAATATTATTTGTTATTTAGTTCGTATTATACATAATATTTTTTTTAAATATTATTTAATCAACTTGTTTGTAGCTGAAGTAACGAAGGTCAAAATGTGGATATTATAAAGTATGTTTTGCGTTGTCAAACGCATAATGATGCAGAAGTGTAGCAACATTTATATCTTAAACGTAAAAAGAAGACAATATATGAGACTTAAAGACATTCTTAAATTCTAGTATTATTTATTATATCAATAGTGCGCAAAATACTCACAATTATATCTACCATATGTCCCGAAAAGTAAATCACAAGTTACCGAAGTTTATAAGCGAAGGGACTTAATACTAAGTTACGAGTAAGTAAAACACCGACATCGAATAACTTTGAAATGTCCCAACTTTACCGTCGAATTACAACTTTAGTGTACCATCCGTTTTATGTAGGTAAATGTAAGTAAAAAAGGGTTCTGTTGCGTAAGTTTGTTTCTGCCTTTATTTATGCTACGGGACTACGGGCTACGCGGCTACGAAAGTGCGTAGCGCTTAATATTAGGGTCTACAAGAACTATTATTTAATTTTATTTGTCTACAAGAACTTATGAAATACAGTCGTAGAAGTTAGGAGTCATAAAGTTCTTCCCTATTTTCTATTGTATATTGCAATGTCGATAAAACTAAAGCGTGTTGTTGATAACGACATCGAATGCTCATAGCAAAAGTATCGATCGATTTACATATGACTATGACATTGTTTACATAACTCTTAATACGTTCACATAAGCGTTATCTTTTCGATCTATCGATACGCTACGTCAGCGAAAACCGTCACGTTCGATAACAGTACGTTTTAACTAAGAATCACGTAGGTATAGGTATTCTAATCGCGTACTTACGCATGTCTAATATTATTCTGCTGTTGTCCGAAGCGAAAGTCCACGCGTTCGCCACCCAGTTTCGTCAATAGTCGAACGATTGTGCCAATGATTATATTAAAATGTCGAGAGTGCGTTAATTAAATAAAAAATCGATTGTGAAAGAGAGAAATCATCATTTTTATGTTTGTCTTCGTCGGATTATCTGTATGTTTATTAACACTCATATGAGTATCTAATTACCTGATAAATTATGGCACAGAATTGATGCATTCTATGGTCTAATTTATTTTTGTATTTAGTTATTCAGACACTGAAACCCGACATTAGACTTTTAAGAATTAATAGGTGCCTAAATAATTCTTGGAATAATAACGTGCACCAGAAAATCAAGTCTTAATACATACATAATAAATTATAAAATTCTTGAAACCAGTCTAGATTATTTACTATGTAAGTATGTACAAATCTAGACAAAGTCACATGTTTCATTTTATACACAAAATTATTTGTTCGCAGTTGCAATCTAGTCACTCAGAAGGTCAAAGATATTGTTTGTAAATAAAAATACATAGTACGTTATCTAAGTGTTATGGCAGTCTATTTAACGCAATCGTTTAATATTACATTTGACCTACAGCGCTATTACTTATGAAATCAATGTAACATGTAAGTTTATCTTCCGTTAAACTATGATGTATGAAACTAGTTTATATACAAGTTCATATAAAGATAACATAGATATTACTGTTATGTTACATAGAAAGCTAATCTATTGCTTAATTCCGAGCACCCTTTCAAACTGTACTTTCATCATTCATTACGAAATCTAACCCTGGTAATGATATGCCCAATCTTAACTAGGCTTTCTAGATGAGCCACCGAAAACCAAACGGGTTGTCGGGACTCCGGCTCGAAGAGCAGGAGTAGGGAGAGGGTGGATTTTAATCAATATTTCAGTAAGAGCCTGACACTCCCTCTTGCATAACCCAAGGCGGGAAAAGTAAGTCAAAAGGCTTTCTATTTCTAGATCATGTGTTCATAAAATATTATGTGTATGTACGTACGTATCTCTTAAATGACTGCACCAAATCAGATTATGTTATGTCATTTCATTACAGTCGGAACAAGGTTCTTGTGAAGTAATGCATGTTACTAAGTTTTTAATTAATATTCGTAAATCCTTACACCAATAGTAATTAAATAAGAACAAGTTACCTCCGACCTTCACACTAGATAACTAGAAGAGACGTTCAAGTTCGAAGTTTAACATTGATTTTATTAACATAACTTTGAATTTTATTACAAGGTCTAAACTTACCTAAACTAGACTAATATGTTTTATGGATTGGCTCGTAAATTAAGTATGTACATAATGTTGCTTAAAAGACGTTTCCAGTAAGTTATTAATAGATACCTTCTAGAGGTCGCTCGGAGAATGAGACTCGACCGCTTTTCATCTCGCATACACTCTTCATTAAGAAATTATATGAATACTATTTATGAATTTGACAATTTTTCTGTGTAGGAGTGTAATGTTTCGTTTATTAATATTTAACGCATAACATAAATAATATAAGGTTTCTGTTCTCTTGCTCTCAGTATGGAGTATGCAAAAATTCGATTCTCCTCCGTCCGCGTTTTCCAACAATGAAGATCAGAATTTTCCCTTGACATTCATAATGTATAACTTATCATGTAGAGTAAATATTATGGTAATATTGCAA